CACAAACGAGTTACTCAGTTAATTGAAAACAAAACTCATTTCGAGTTTGAATTTATTAAAGATTGAGGGCTCCATTCGACATTCTAAATATTGGAGATACTATTTTTTGTGAGAGGAAAAACATTTCCAAAGCGAAGGCCATATGATAGTGGATGGCGTAAATCGGGTTCAAGATGTTTAAAAGTTTTAAGGAAGATTTTATGACTTTTAAAGAATATTATCAAAAATATAATCTTATTATGTAAACAATAATTTTATGGTGAATTTTGAGGTTAGTCAGCCACTATATATATAATGACTCGTAGCATGTTTTTGACAATAAATTAGTCTTTGGTTACAATCAATTAATTGTTTTATCTCATTGCATATGGGAATAGTATTTTGTTGTTGTTGTTGTTACGATCAATTAATTGAATGACTTAATTATAATTATTTGAAATCTAATATTTTTAATAAATAAAATATCTCATATAAAAATTCATCTAATGTTAAATAATAATATAGTATATTTATGACAGTATATTAATTAAATTATTTATTTATAATCTTTGAATTAAATAATTTATAAATAATTGAAATATATTTTACTCATAATTAAAATAATTGCATTTGTTGGGATAATATTTGGAGTGTAGCATTCTATGGTATAAATTATTCCAAAATGTGTAATTGGAAGTAATCTTTCATCTTACTGCATCTGCTACAAAGATTTGACCCTTGTCGGCTGCTATGCTTTATATTCCTCTCCCAAAGCACCAATCATTGTTAATTTTATATATCAAGTTTTCAGTCGATTTTACCGAAATATTACACCTGACAGGAAATAATTATATGTCAGAATTCTTTATCTTAATTTTATTGATCTAGCATCTTTTTTGTTACGTTTTTTGGGATTTCGTCCGAATTTACATCACGTCATGAAAGGTGTCTTGTTCGAGTTGATCATTGTTAATTTTATATATCAAGTTTTCAGTCGATTTTACCGAAATATTACACCTGACAGGAAATAATTATATGTCAGAATTCTTTATCTTAATTTTATTGATCTAGCATCTTTTTTGTTACGTTTTTTGGGATTTCGTCCGAATTTACATCACGTCATGAAAGGTGTCTTGTTCGAGTTGGTGTCACGTAATGACAGGCGCGGATTGTCATCCGTACCCTTTTAGGGGTTTTGATATTCGCTAATAAGATACGGATGATGATCTGCACCTTCCATTAATACCCCAACTATTCACAACTCTCACATTTATGGGAAATTCGGCTAACCCCCTCCACTATTCCTATAAATATCTCATCCCCTCTTCATTCAAACACAAACCAAACACAAAAATCCAAACCCTCTCAAAGCTCAAACTTTCTTAAATTCTCTCAAAGCTCAAATTATATTAAGAAGGTAAAATATATTTTTTTGTATTATAATAAATTAATAAATTATTATTTTATTAATTTTTTTTATTAATTTTTACAGTTATAAAATGGAATATTTGCTACGTTTAGATGAACATCATATATCGAGACATTTTGTTGATACGGTAACAATTTTAAATTATATTTTAATTTTAATGATTGTTAATATTTTATTTATTTAATTTGTTTAGTATTAGTTTATATTTTAATTTCTATAATATTTATTAAATTAGGAGAGATTGTATATTAGATCCCTTTATTCGTAATCTTAAGTTAGCGATATCTACTCGTGTATGACCGTATTTAGTCGAGGTTGGATTCAGTTACGTAGCAAAATATGAAAGGTATTGTAACCTTGAATCCAACCTTATTTCTGCATTGGTTGAGCGGTGGAGACCAGAGACACATTTCATATTCCATGTGGAGAGTGCACAATTACGCTATAGGATGTTTCCATACATTTGGGACTTCCGGTAGATGGAGATGTGATTTCTGGGGTGGCGCATGGTGACTGGCATTTTGTGCAAGGAGTATCTTGAAGGTATCTTGCCTAATTTCAACGGTGGTCGAATTTAGTTAAATTAGTTGGATGCAAATTTCAAGCATTTGAGTGGCGACGCCTCCGAGGAGCAGGTTAAAAATGTATGCACGGGCTTGCATACTACAATTCATAGGAGGGCTTCTGATGTTGGACAAATCGCGCAACCAAGTTCATTGTATGTGGTTGCGTCACCTCGCCGATTTTCATCACGCTGACACACTAAGTTTTGACATTTTTGTATAGGGAAATGTGTTGAGCTACTGGTTATAGAAAAATGCTATCGGTGGATGTCTCATTCTGCTTAAGTATTGGGCGTGGTATCGCATGCCCTTTTTATGTCCGGTGGTGAAAAACTCGTTTGTCTTCCCGCTATTATTGAGGTAATTACAATACTGATTTCGTATATTAATAATTTTATTTAGTATATAATAAAATTTATTTCACTTAATAGATGGTCAAGTGAAAGAAAAGATCATCGGAATTTACCTGATGAATTGGAAGAAATTAGGCTACTAATTGATCAAAAGACTAGCACAGAAGTATGTATTTAACTAACAAAATGTACTTTTAATTATCATTATATAATTAGATTATTATTTTGATAAGAATTATATATATTTGCTTTTGTTTGAATGGGCTCCTTATTGTACTGAAGAGATGAGGATTTGCATCCCACATCACTTAAGAGGCCCATTAGATGTCTGGATGGCGGTAGTCCCTCTGATATTTTATGTTATTATCGAGTGGCATCCCACTGTTCACGTGCTCTAACAATTTGGTTTTGTACAATCTCTTCCGGAAGTGCCAAAGAATCTCGACGATTTGCATATCATCGATAGACGGGGTAAAAAAGAAGTTGACTGGATGTTGAAGCCCTATGAGTGGGTAATGATATAAGAGGATTGATGTAGGCGCATTCCCCTTATGTAACCCATTTATGTGGATCATTACTCGGTTGCAGATGGTTATTATGAATGGTTCAACATGAATTAAAAACTGTTCATACTTTCCAAGGAAGCACGAGGTGGGAGCATTCATCGACGTCGACCAAGACATCCATCGTCACAACATCATTGTCCCCTACTCGTGGACAGAGAGCAGGAACTTTTGGATCATCCTCAGCTATAGCACCAGAACCTTTATAGCAGCCACCGTCTACATCGTTGTACATTGCACAACCATTTCAGATGGTACCACAGCCATATCATATGGCACACAACCATTTCATATGACACTGTAGTCAAGTCAGACACCACCGCTTTCATACCAAATGTCGCCACCTACGCAAAGTTATATGACCCCTCATGGTGGATATTATAGTTCCATGTTTGTAGATCTAACTTAGGGTTCATATACTGTTTATTAGGTGGGTGAAACTTCACCACATGCACAGACACCTCCTGTACATTATTTGCACTTAAACAATTGTAAATTTTGTATGTAATTATTTACTTTTTATTTATTTTGTTTCTTAATTTTTTTATTACTTAATTGTTAGAATATTTTTATTATTTAGCGTTTTTTAATTTTTTTGTTATATAGTTTTTTTGTTTAATTAATCAGTGATGCTCAAATGACATTATCTGGAAGTAAATGAAAATTAAATTACAAAAATTTAGATTTCATAAACAAAGACAACATCAAAGACAGCATCAACGGTTACTTGATGACAAAAGATATGGATATTTTTTCCTATTGTGTCATAGGTTTCTACAATGTCCACATCTTTTGTTTTCTCTGGACATTTCCCGAATAACCATATCACAATGAATTCGAGTGGATTTTGGACGACCGGGCTCCCTCAATAAGGACGAATCTGGTACAATCAGAAATCAATTTTGAACCTCATTAGGGGTTTTCTCATTACCTATGAGGGAACTCAAATTCATATACCTTAAACACTTCTGAAAGTCGGTATACGGGATTCACAAAACGGTTATAGTCTTAACGGGTATGCGAGCAAGCTGCTATGACATGAGAGCATGTATACTTCATAACTTGAAAAAAACCCACAATCGCACCATCTGTCTCTTAGATTAACTCTGAACGAGTTAGCTTAAATCCCTTGAAGAGGTTGCGGAATCTCTGGGACACGAAATAATTCATAGGTTCTAGACAAACTTGTTACAAACATTTCATTTTATGCAACAATTCTTTTTTGTAGATCTGTAACTAATCTTGAGTGATAGACATAACTGTTTCCCATCCAAATTTGAGTTTGTTCCCCGAACTTGGCAAAAAACGCTCTCAAACATAAATATGACATTTTTACCAAAGTCGTTACTAGTAAATGTGTGCCCCTTTAAGGTCAAATTGATAGCCTCAGCCAAATTGGTTATCATGTGTCCATATCGATATCCACCATCATATGCATTTATCCACATTTATTTGTTGATGAGACTGATGTAATCATATCATTCCTCGTAGGGGTGTTCGCGGTCGGTTTGGATCGATTTTTGGCTAAAAATTTATCCGATCCGAAAGTATAAATGTTTGCGGTTTAAATTGGTTTGGATGTTTCTAAAAAAAATCCGATCCGATTAAGTGTGGCTGGATTCGGTTTGGATTTGTTCGAATTTTGGATTCTAATATTTTACGACAAAATCATTTTTTAATATATTACAAAATAAATTCAGGTAAACGAACAACACAATTTGTAGATTTAAGCAGCTAAAATTGCAACGACTAAAATCACAAAACTCCAAGTCAAAGAAGGAAAGAATTTTTTTTCAATAAACAGAACTCATGCCTGTTTCAGTAATCCTTCAAGACTGCAGAGATAGGTTGGTGGGGTTTCACTGTCCATCATCTCTAAACTGCAATTATTGATGCTTGTTATTCCCTAAACATCTATATTACATGTGGTAAACTTTAACTTCAAGATGCGATCAATATGCAAAAAGGAAGGAACAAACTGGTTCCAAACTTGTACAAGAAAAAAATTCAACTTACCACTGTACCATTCCTGCAAAAGATCATTCCACAAGACTGCAAATACACCACAGTAGAAAAAAATAAAAAAAAGAACAAAAAGTAACAAGAACCCAGATTCAAAATGATGACATCAACTAAAATTCATTCCAATAGCATATTGTTCAAATTCTAAACCCCAAATACACTACTAAAAGTTGTGTAATTGTTCAAATTCAAAGCATTCCAGAACAGTAACCCAAGCCACAAGCAACCATATTGCAACAAATCACAGTTTAGATAAAGAAAGAAAATACAATAGAATCCAACATATTCTAAAACAACAACACTGCCAGCACATTCAAAACAGCACCATGATCCAAAAACAGCTCCAAACAACAGCAGCTCCAAACAGCAACATGATCCCAAACAGCTCCAAACAACATGATCCAAAGTCAGTTGCAAGTTTAAAGAAAAGCATCCAATTAAAAAAAACCATATAACTTTTATTACGAAAAATAGCCAATTAAAAATATTATACCAAATCAACAACTAATCAGACTCCGCATCAGATTGCTCTTTATTTAGTTGCAAAATTGGGGCAAGATCTACAAATATTTAAAATATAACCAATTAGTATGATAAGTGAAAAACAAATACACTACTATGAGGTACAATAAAAATACCTAGCTCAAGCTTTTCTAAATCCTCCACGAGCTCTTCAACATCAGTTGATATTAGGGAGGATGGATAAACACCTATTTTGGGTGCAAATCAAAGCCTCAACGGTCTTTGGAGTAAGAGAGCTCCTATAACAGTTAAGTACTCTACCTCCTGTGCTAAAAGCAGACTCTGAAGCAACAGTAGACACCCTATAACAGACTATCCCATATCACAATCTCGAACAAATAATTCAACTGTGACAAAAATCAGTTAGAGCCAGGCATGCCAAATATTAATTAGCTAGATTGTAAATTGACTTTCTATTAGTTGTTTTGTCATTGTGTTTCTGCTGAGCACAGAGTTTAGATTAATTTCTGCTTTTGTTTTATGCCTTGATAGTTGATACATAATCTGGATTATAGGTTCAATTGAGAGTAACTAGAGTTTACAAGGCCAATAACAAAGCATATAAATTCATTGCTAAAAAAAAGTGTTGAATTGCTAACCTTTTAATGATTGACTAAAATAACGCTTACCTGGTTTTCCATATGCTAAATAACAGTCCCTCAAATTTTGTTACAAGGCATTTGAAAATTGTATAGTGTGTACAATTGACCATCAGCTTTCCAGTTTTTTACAGTGTGATGCATCTTAATCCTAGAATCTGCTAGTTCATTCCAGACTCTGCCTGTTTATGTTTTAGTTAATTCACTAGAAAATTTAATAACATAGGCGCTTCTCAATATTTTCGACTTTATGTTGCTTTACTGCAACTTGTCTTTAATATACGTTCTTTAATGGGTCTAGTTGTGTGTTTATGTTAACTTTCAGAAATCAGTTTTATACAGTTTCGTTATCATTGACCCATTGAATTTCACCAAAATATTAAATTTGGATTCAAGAATTTCGACACAGTTGCTGATAAGTAACGTATAGTTGACAATGATGCATGCTTAGTGATCCTGATGGCAACCGCTATGAATACTTCATGGAACAGAGATAAGCAGTTGTAGAAACAAGGATCAATTGAAGTAAATGTATAGTAAACAAAGTACAAATCCAAGATATGATATGTAGAAAAACAGATTGCAAAGTGCAAACAAATAAAAAAACAATGAAGAAAAAGAAGTGCAAAAATGGGTGAAAACTAAAGAAACTTCTTTTCCCCCCCTTCAATATATATATAACCAACCCTTGAAGCTATTCAATTCGTAAACAGACTGTTCCTCATCAATTTGACATAAAACCCAAACAGAAATAGTCTTTGGTCTCCTATTGCCCGGTAAGTTTTTCAGTCGTTTACATTTGTAGTCATTCTTGAAAGCATAGCAATACAAAGCATGAGAGATATAACTATCTGCTTGCTAGATGAGATCAGTGGCTTAGCATACTTGAAAATCAATGGTGAAAGTAACTCAACTCTTATCAATCAGCCTCACTGTCCTTTATTTATTCTCCTGTAAAAGGTTTAATTGTAGCTAGAACTTGAAAATTAATGGTGGGAAATCAATGTTTTACCTGACTAGTTCACTTTCGAATGGCCAGTTGTGCAGTTCACTAATTCAGTTAAGAGGGTTTATCAGGGATGGTGAAGTCTAAATTGTTCCCATAAATTCCGAACTAATCTGCTTCGAAGTTCGAAGAAATATTATTTTTTTTTCTTTTAACAGTGAAGTTGGGGCTGGGTTATTTTCTTTTGTCGATCCCGTTCCGTCTTGATATTTCGTTGGATAGACGTGACCCCAGATAGAACAGTTACAAGCGAGACTATTGGCAGTACAAACCATAAAGACTGGAGCAGATAGATAAACAAAAGAAAAGTAAAGAAATTATGGATAAATACCGTAAACATCAGATGCAAGAAGAATAGCAAGCTTACTTGGGATGAAGGATCAGAAAAGATTGTAATTACAAGACAAACTTACTTGGGATGAAGGATCAGAAGAGGGGTTGTGCTCTGCTCGACTAATCTCGTTTGGGTTGTGAGTGAGGGGCTGTGCTCTGCTCGAGGGAGGAGGATGAGAAGAGGCGGAGTCGAAAGTGGGCTAGGGTTTAAGATTTTATGCCAGGAACTTGAAATGATGCCGTTCATTGTATGAGATATGGGTCCGGTTCGGTTTGGATCAGTTTCGGATTTCTAAACCGAAACTGAACCGAACTGATCGGTTTTTAAAAAAAACAAATAAATTAAATTGGTTTCAGCTTTTTCGGTTATCAGTTTTTTGGATCAGTTTTCGGTTACTGTTTTGGATCGGATTGGATTTACATACCCCTAATTCCTTGTTCTTTCCTCGCAACTCTTGAAGCATTGACTCAAATATTTCAGGTAGTAGTTTGTAACCATCAAATGTATAACTTACTAACTTTGTTCTATAAAAAATAAAAATGATTAAGAAATAAAAAATAGCGTTTTGACATGCTCATGTGCACAAGTAATTGGCACTCATCATTCTTCTTGAACCTTCCATGATAGTTTGCAGCAATGTGTCGTATACAGTATCGATGTTGGACATAAGGTGGTTGCCACATTAGACCCAAAGAATCCATTGATGCTTTGATCCCATCTATGCTATCTGAAATGACACATATTTTTCTCTCGTGATAACATGTAAGCATAAGTTTCTGAGGAAAAAAGCCCAAGAATATGTATCTTCTCCTTCAACAATGGCAAAATCAACTGGAAGTATGTTGCGATTACCATCTTGGACAACTCCCAATAGTAAAACTTGCTTGTATTTTCCATACAAGTATGTCCCGTCTATTTAGACCACGAGCTTGTAGTATTTCACATCATTAATACACTATGGGTAAGTCCAAAAAGCCGGTAGAATTAGCATCAATCATGAAGCACTCGATCATTGTGGTATGCATGACAGGTTTCGAAGTCGATAATTGTCCCATGATTTAATTTGTTCACTACCCTAAACCAACTTGGTAGTTCATTGTAAGATGTATCACATTCGCTGTGAAGTTTTTTAATAGCATTCTGCTTTGCCTTCCATGCTTTTTTGTATGAGACGATATACTCATATTGCGATTGTATAGCTGAAATCAACACAACAATAGCTATATGAGAGCTTGCTTTTACCATGGGTATGATGGCTTGACAGATAATATCAGAGTACAAGTTGGGATGATCTTGGTTGATCCCTCCAGCACAACATGTGTGAGGATCGTTGTATATCGTTAGTTCCCATATATTATTTTTTCTTTTCCTCTTCGATACGCAAACCATCCAATTGCATCCGTTATCACGTTGGACACAGTGACAAACATATTTTTTGGTGGTAGAGCGGTCGACTCTAGACTAAACAGAATTACAAATATTGTAATTCTTAATTGTCATCATCGTTTTTTCATTGCATGAAAACTTAATTCCTTTATATAACTCACCATCACTGACTGATGAGTTAAATCCGTAGTCACTGACATTATGCATATCCACAAATTCTAGCATGTATATTGCACCATAGCCAGCTTCATACATGTGTGTTAGAGGTTCAGTGTGTACCATATTTATGGGAACTTCATAAACATTATCATCATCGGAGTCTATGTTGAACTGTGGTGATTTTGGCTAAATGAATAGTCCAATCTCATCACTATCCGCACCTGGCTCACGAAGAGGTTCTTCTGGTAGAGATGAGAGTTCCTCTACGATGTCAACATTTAGGTCGAACAAGCCTGTAATTGTATGCCTTCCCCTTGAACTTGAAGTCATCTCGACATTGAGCTCAAATAAGCTCGCAGTTAAATGTCTCCCCCTGGAGCTAGAAGACATCATGTCAAATGGGTACTGTACAAATTGTTGCGTCGAGGGCATCTCCATATTCAAGTCAAATAAATTGGCAGATGAATGTCTTCCCCTTGAACTGAACGCGATATTGCTATACGGATTATTTGTAGAGCCACCTCGGTACAAATCGTAAGAAGTTGCTAATGAATTTCTCCCTATTGAACTTGATGGGATGACATCATGATGTGAATTTCCTATTAACGAGTTAAAATAATTACATATTACTTGAGTTGTGTTGTGAACTTGATCAGCTTGTTGAGCCAGCCCATAGTGGGAGCATAATGACATACCATGAACATTACACACTTCAACAAATTTCACATACATCTCTGTATCGGCGTCTGAATAATTATTTTGAGAATCAACCATTATAGCAATATCATCATCGTTAGATAGTTCGAACGTTGTATAATTTAATGGAAATACTGCGGTTGGAAATCTGTATTGAAGTGACGACAATATTCTAGTACTTCCAACATGAACCTTCATTGAAATTTTCGTTATCAGCTCCTCAAGAGTGATGTTTCTCTTGAATGATATTTTGACAAAATGATTTGATGTGAAGATGACACCGGTTTCATCTTCCCGAATTTCTCCAACATAGTAAACAATAGCTGAAATTCGAGTCATTCTGAGAGTTTGAAAGATTTAGAGTCTTATATATGCAAAAACAATAGCTGAAACATACATAATTAAATAAATAATATATGAATTAAAATAAAAGCTAATTAATAAATTTAAAAAATTTCACAGTAATTTTATATCGTTATCATATCGGTAAAAATGTCCCGAGGTATGATATCACTTTCCAATTTTACAACCGCAAAAATAATACAAAATAATTAGTACAATAATTTTTTTCTTCAAATAATCATATATAAAATAAATATAATATAGTAAAAAATAATTTTACCTTACAACAAAAATCGAAAGAAATGGTGAAGCAAAAATAGAAGGCATTAATGTGGTGATGTTTGCATAAGAGAGATTTTAAAGATCGAGTATTTCGGGTGGAACCACCATCTGCGCCTTGCTGGAGCGTGTCAAAAACTCCAGAAAGACGCGATTACGTGACGCCAGCTCAGATAAGGCGTGGATGATTATCCGTGCATTTCATGAATTGACGCTGGCTTGGACGAAACTCAGAAAATGCACGGATGACGATCCGCGCCTTATCAGAAATGATGTTAGATCGATAAAATTAAGAGGTCAATCGCGCCTTGTCAGAAAGTGTGTTAGATATATAAAATTAAAAGAAAATTTCGGTTAAATCGTCAAGTTTTTGAGAGGATTAGGATCCTAAACCTTTAAGCTATAATTAATTAATAATATCACATCATTTCTGATATCAGTTATCAGTTATCAGTCAACAACACATAAATGGCTTCACAAACAGCTCCAACAGACCTAGTCATCTTTCGAATGTTGCCTTTGTCTCCGACCAATTGTCTACGTCCATTATTTATGCAAGCTTCACACGCCGAATATTTCGTTATGAAAACATACTGTTCCACTTCCGCCACTCGCTACTAATAATATTTATGGATAAGTTTATACACTATCACTAAATTATAATATACTAATATATATTCCAAATGTTATCATTGATATTTATTTTTTTAAATATAATTTATCAATAATGTATAAAAAAGGCCTTTTTAGGCTTCCTGTACAAACTCATAATATAATACCAACAAATGCATAATTAGCTTGAAATTTAAAGCGTAAAGTAGGCATCGTTTTCAAACTATATCTTTCGTTCCATTAAATATTCTGGAGAAAGCAAATCATGCTGTTTCTAAACCCTAAACGAGATACTTCTGAATTCCCCGGTCATGTTAATGTAAATAAACATATAGGGAAACTGAAATGTTCATTCAAATTTTAAAAAGGTGGGTCCAAATTCATCTCAAAATTATATTAATAAGAATATATTAAGAAACCTCGATGATAAAAGTTAGTGTTATTCTTTTAAATATCTCAAATTTGAATAGCCACATGAATAAAATATGTGTGAGTTGTTATTGTCTAAAAACACATACCTCTAATATCAATGGTCTTCGGTATTTATATGTTTGGGAACCGAGCAAAGGTAGAAGAGCTCGATATACAGGGAAACAAAGACAACCCCATACCCCCAAGCACGTATTGTATTGTCCCAAAAGCACACTCCATTGATACATTGTGAATAAACTAAAGACCATTCCAGTCCACCAATAATAACACTGACATCCCCAAACCAACCACTAATGAATCGGCCCCAAACAATATTAAAAACTCCGATGGTTCTGATTCTGTGCTTTAAAAACTCCGTCCTTGATGATTAAAGCTAGGTCCATGACATATCAGACAAACCAGAGTAGAGCCACAGTGGTCAGCCACTGAACTCACATTTAGCTATACGGTCTAGCCGAGGTAGGATGGTCCAATTATCATTGATCTACGTATAAAAGTATTGGGAAAATGGATGGATGGACCACCCTATAAAGAAGAAGCCTTAGTTTTTTTTTCCTTTCAAGTTTTAAAAATGAAAATAAACTAATCCCAAAAGTGTGCTCTGGTTCAGATGTACAGCCAGGGCTCTCGCAGGTATCTTTTTTTAAAACTCTAAGCCCCCCCGTTTTTTCTGGACTCCTTCAATCATTCGTACGAATTCTCAGTGCTTTTCTGTGTAGTAAAAAAGAGAACTTTATCCATTGTCATGTAATGTAAATACTATTATTTTAAAGCTTTTCGGTGAAGATCTCTAATGAAAGTTACGTAAGGCCAAGGAAGGTAATTTTCTCCCATTTTCTTTTTGGGGTTTCAGTATTCGTTTCACTGTGGGAACTGGGAATTGACGATTGACAAACTGTGATGAAGAAGATGAAGTCAGACTGAAACCTTGGAGATGGGAATGGCTGGGGGTAGTTGCTAACATGCGCGGTGGGTTTCAAGCAAATAAAAGGAAAAGCAGAGTGACGTGGTCAATGGGGTTTTAGGGTAAGAGTTAAAGTAGGCAAGCGGCGAAGAAAGCTTCTTCACAGGACCACCTTTTTTTTAACGGACAAAAATTGAAGGGGTTTTTTTTTTTAAACTAAAAAGAAGTACTTAAAGTATACCATTTTCTAATTGAAAAATACAGGCTTAAAGTAAAAATAGGTACTCAAACTATGTATTTTTTTTCTTTAATTACATAAACTATTTTTTGGTCAAACTAAGTTCTTAAATTATTAAATTTAAACATTTTAAGTCCCATCATTTTTTAGTTAGAAAAAAATATTTTTCGACCAATAAGATGTTGACACTTCACACAAAATTGGATACTTGTTTTGATGAAAAAATAGTTTAGAGACTTAAATAAAAAATGAGTCGTAGTTTAGGGACTTATTTTGACCAATAAAATTGTTTAGGTAATTATAGTGGTTACATATAATAATATAAGGACTTAGTTTGACCAAAAAATGGTTTAGGTACTCAAAGCAACAAAATGGCAGAGTTTGAGTACCTAAGTTTAGTTTAAGCCAAAAAAATCAATATATAAAATAATTAAACATAATAATTTAAGTATCTAATTTAACTAAAAATAATTTAAGTACCTAAATCAAAAACAAAAAAAAAAGCATAGTTTAGGTACTTATTTTTTGTTTAAGCCTTTTTTTTTTGCTCTCTTTCTATGTTTTCACGTTCCCCAGTCTCACCTCCCGCGCGTGTTTTGGATGCGTTATAGATAGCAGCATCTGTTTTGATTATTTTCTTTTAAATGAAAATTGATGAAAAAAACGTGAGAGGGTGCGTCAAATATCTATATATTTCCAGTGATTTTTTAATTAAAAAAATTGTGTTTTTTTAGGTGTTGGTTTTAAAATTAATTAGTAATAGATTAATCATAGAAAATAACTTGAAAACGAAACGTTTTCAATATTTGGCTTTGTATTTACTGTTGAGATACATAGTGTAAATATCAATTAAGAAATTTGTGTCTAATTAAATAAATATTTAAGATATTGTCAACAATACTCAAACAATGTCAGGATATTTATTAAAAATGTCAAGATATATCAAAATAACTCTAATTAATAGAACACGATAATCATTTTTGGTAAAAAGAATTTTTAAGTCATTCGATTTTAAAATTAAATAGATTAATCTCTTAGAAAGAAAAAACAATCTCTGTGGGTTTTGAAAATATTAATTATCACATATTTAATATTTTCTATTAATGTTACATAATTTCAATTGATATATAATAAATTTAACCTTTAATGTTTACATGTCATATTAATTTTAAAATCAAAGCTATAATTTACACATTTTAGATATTAATAATTAAATTTAATGATTCTTTTAGAATTTAGACGAAATATAAATAAAAATCACATAAAATTAATAAAAATATATTAACTTGGTAAGTAGTTATCCTTAATTAAAAATTATTCAATTTTGAAGCTGATAAAATTTAAAAATATCTTTCTTTAAAATTAGAAATGTCTTTTAGCCATAATTATTTAAAAAGGAAATAAATACATAAGGAAATATAATAAAAAGGAAACACAAAAATTATTTAAAAAAAATAAGAGAAGAAGATGTGGTCCCATCCCATTGGCAATGGACTGTACATTAATAGAGCAATTAATTAGAATTAGAATTAGATGGAGAATACATTGGACCACTTCTCTCTCTCTGTTCAACTCTTAGCCTCCCCCATCATTTTGGGAACAATTCCATTACACCACCCAAAATAGGACCTAAAATTCACATTATAATTTTGATTAAAAATATACTTAACAACAAATTAAAAAATTACATCATATTTTTTAATTATATAATGTAATTTATTAAGAACTAATAATATTTGGTTCATCATAATTTTTATATTTTACAAATTATTATTATTTAAATATAATATGTATATTATTGGTTCACAAATCACAACAGCTGCACCCCACCCTCCAATAAAAGAACCCTGGATTTAACTCCTACATAAAGAATTTTCTTTTGGGATTCCTGCCCCCAATATGTATTTCTTCCAAAGATCATATAGTTTTGGGCTTACCTCCCTTCATTTTGATTTTTTTTATTGGAAAAATAATGATTAAAAAAGGGAAATGAAGAGGTGATGCGGTAGGTTTAAGGTCAATTTTATCTTTAAATAATTTTAACACATTAAAAATGATGAAAAATATAATATCTTTTCCTTCATTATTGGCAGCAAATAGCTTTGTTGAATAGTATTTTATGTGATTCACGATTAAAAGTATATTTTATTTGTTGGTTATCAAATAATTGAGGGAAGTATAGTGTTGTTGATTTTCATAGTTGGATGTCTATTTTGGAGGTATTTTTACATCATAATGCATTGACCCACTTCAGCCATGGAGATAGAGAGAAGAAAAGGCAAACCATATTGAGAAAGAGGAGAAGAATAATGAGAAAATGAGAAACTATGATAATGGCTATAAACAAGGGTCATCATCACCTCTATATCCGAGCTTCTATTTCTAAATAATATATATATGTATATGTGATCTTTCTTCCTAGGTTTGTATTTTCATGGCAGACCATGTTGGCCTTTAACACATCCAGTTTGAGAAGAGCAGCATTTCATCACCATCATCATCATCTCCTTCACCATCTAAATTCTTCTTCTTTCTTTCCTTGCTGTTGATTCTTTAACAGCATAGTTTCAACTTGTTCCCATAACTGGTAAGGCCTCCCTTTTTCTCTTCTCTTACATTAAAGTTTGGTCTAGAAGAAGAAAAAATGAAAAACCAAAGTTTTCTCTTTTTGTTTACTTGTATGATCAAAAGAGTACCTTTCTTTAAAGTCTTGTTTACAACAGATTGATCTTCGTTTATCAGCTAGTATTTTTTATGGAGCTTTAATTGTTGGTTTTTTATGGCTGCCCTTTATTCTTGGAATGAATCTTGATGGAATTATTAGTAGTTGCAGAATCAGCATCAACTTTTGATCAGTATCTGAGAAGCTGGTGGGCAGAAGAAAGCATAAACAAAGTAACGGAAAAAGCTGGATTTAAATGGCTAGAGAATTTTGTGAAGATAAATCGAGGAATATTGTCTCATCAAGTACTGGTTTTTGTTACTCGGATGTTTCATCTGGTAACATGCAAACCCAGATGGTGAACCAGATCCAAGGGTTTGAATCCAATCCAGAGATCTTCAATTTGACCACAGGCATGGAGATGATAGGGTTTTCCAAGAACCTACAGCAGCAACAAGGTGACACCAACATGGCCATGTGGTTCAACAAACATGAAAACAACCCTTCTTCTTCCAAGGAGATCAATGAGTCAACCACCCATTTCTATCAACATGAGTTCCACAAGCCCGAGTTCACAACTGGGATATCTGAAACTAGTGCAGAGAATCTAATAGTTGGACCAGAGTCAGGTCCTTGGCAAGAAAACAAGTTGCTTGTTGATGATTCTTCTTTGAGGTGTGTGTTTCCATCACAGAGGCCAAGTCAAGGTCTTTCACTCTCACTTTCATCCAGTAATCCTACGGCCAGTATCGGGTTGCAGTCTTTTGAGCTTAGACAAACCAGCCACAGTAGTCATGACCAGGCAGATGACACGAGGTTTATCGGTTCTAGTTCCAGAGATGGTTTCTTTGAAAAGCCTGCAAATTTAAATCAAGGCCAGTTCCAGCTGAGGCGCTCTAAGTACTTGGACCCTGCTAAGGAACTTTTGAATGAATTTTGCAGCCTGGGAATAAAGCAGTTTGATGCATCGAAGCAAAAGCAGACCCATAAGACCAGACAGTGGGATAACGATGATGATGGAGCTAGCCCTTCGAGGAAACAATCCCTATATTCCCTTGACTTCTCCGAATTGCAGAGAAGGAAAACCAAGTTGCTTTCAATGCTTGAAGAGGTATGATGTTCAATTTCATCTGCCTATGTATTACATGCTGTAACTCTCATTTATTTTCATATGGAATTCAACTCATCGTTTTCACCCCTATCCCTTTCTTTTTTTTTCATGTATATTTATGTAGGTGGATAAAAGATACAAGGTCTACTGTAGTCAAATGAAAACAGTCGTATCTTCGTTCGAAGCGGTAGCCGGCACCGGGGCTGCATCGGTGTACTCAGCGTTGGCCTCCAAAGCCATGTCGAGACATTTTAGATGCTTAAGAGATGGGATTGTGAGTCAGATTCAGGCCACAAGGAAGGCCATGGGAGAAAAAGACCCGGTTGCACCAGGCACGACAAAAGGCGAAACACCGAGGCTAAGGGTCCTGGATCAAGCTTTGAGGCAACAAAGGGCGTTTCAACAGATGAGCATGGAGAGTCACCCTTGGAGACCCCAAAGAGGCCTACCTGAAAGATCTGTTTCCGTTCTTCGAGCTTGGTTGTTCGAGCATTTCCTTCACCCGTAAACATCTCTTAATCTCTCTTTTTTTCTGTTCAAAGGCTTTTTATACGTAAAATACAAACTAGTTTTAACAGTACTGCAAGTTTGAGTCTCAATCATTTAGCTTGGTAAAGCAATGTGCAGTCTTTGTTAGTTTCTACCCATCACCATTCAGATTCCACATGCCGTCTTATTTCAATCATTTTAGTCAGCTTCTCTGTGTTATTTTTATCTGCATTTGATTCTGTTAATATATATATATATATGTATATGTAGGACCCATGTTTCCCTCACAAACAAGTAACTCAAAAGTACTATCCATGGAGGCAAAGCTTCAGTACTAACTCTGCATTTCCATGAATAAAACTTTTGCAGGTATCCAAGCGATGTCGATAAACATATCTTAGCCCGCCAAACCGGCCTCTCAAGGAGCCAGGCATGTCCAAATCACTACCCATATTATATACATTTGAGTCCGTATGAATAAATTTATTTTTTTTTTGATAGAAGTTGGAGGTCTCATTAAAAACTCCCTTCGTATTCGTTCACATACTAAAAGTATGTTAACGAACATTGGAAGGAAGAAAAGAGTACCTCAAATTTTATTGATAATAATACCCGATATAAAAGACACCACGAAATATCCTCTCATGGTGATGTACACTATTACAACAAACACCTTAACCCTATAACCTCATCCAAAGCCACAATCTAATCACCTTCTAATTACGCCACTAGCAGTAGGATTAAAAACAACGCACAGAACATAATACAAATTAAAAGCAATACCTACAACCATATAGATAAAAACAAAACCACAATTGAAGAGACAAGATCTAATGAGACTCGTATTCTTCAGGAGCCCAAGAGTTTGGTTTGAATGAAGGCTCTATCTCATGCACCATGACCTTGAAGAAGTTGTCACCAACCTTCAATTCCACCATCGCATCAATTCTCGCATCAGCCTTTATGAGGACTTGAATTTTTGCCCGATCAAAAGATGATGGAGACAGACAACTTTCGTCGATAGCTAGTAATAAACCCCACTTATCAACAATGTTCTTGAAAGTATCCCAATTCCATGCGTGAAAAGGAACACCCTCGCAAACTAACCATACTCGACGACACTCCATTACCAAACTCTCTGACCAAGTATATTCTTGGGATCTTAAGTTTATTATAATCACATGCAATTATTGCATTTGGCATTTGTTCCATATACGAAAGTATTATATTATGTTATGCTATATCATATTATATGTGTGTATGATGATGACTTTTTCTTTTTGCTTGTATTCCGATAGGTATCCAATTGGTTCATCAATGCTCGAGTGAGACTATGGAAACCAATGGTGGAAGAAATGTATTTGGAAGAAACAAAGGAGCACGAGAACTCTTCAGATAATGGAGTTCAGGATGGTGATGATAATGACAATGGAGATGGTCGGTTAAATATTCCACTCGCCGATCAGAAACCCATCCCGAACCAGCTCATGGGAGTGGGGTGAGCTTAGCCTACCCACCGGCATCACAAACTCCACTTTTTTACCCTAGAGACCAAATGGAAGACTGCCAACCGGTTCAGTACTCTCTTTTAGACGGAGAGGGACAGCATTTGCCTTACAGGAACTTGATGGGGGCACAACTGCTTCATGATTTGGCTGGATAGCAACGAAGGTGACAATAAGAACAAAGCTCAAATTCGATCAGATTGTTGGTGGGGTTCATAGAGTTCTCATCAAATGATGGAAATGGAAGTAGATCAGTAGTGTAGCAGGTGACGTAGATAAATACCAAATATATATACATAACCTTACGCTTTGGTTTGATGATCGGTAACTCTTTTCAATTTTAAGAACATATTTGTTTTAATCTGCAAGGTAAATGTGGGATTTGCCAGTTCCTGATGCAAAGGTTATACGTATATTACTTTCCTCTATTGGGTGGAGTCTATTTAATTGCAAAAGCTTTAACATCTATCTATATATCTCTTTGCCTAAGCCTAAGTGATTGAGTTGATTGTGGTTATTGTTTCAGTTGAACATTCAAAATGTTTCATTGAGGTTAATGTAGATATTTTTATTCTTTTATTTTTCCTTTTCCATAAAGACAAATTAAATTAGCAAACACAACTTTTTTTTTGGGGGGGGGATCAGTTTTGGAGATTAAGACAATCCCCATAAGAATTATCGTTTCCACTTGTTTGTGGTCCCTAATTCATCTTCATGAAGACGATGTTTCATGTCCTAAGAATTGCCTGCTTTATGATTTGACAACTTTGGCATGGTTTATGCTACTGCTTTCGCCAATAAAAGTGCCCCTACTCACCTCCTCTTTAGCTTGATCACAAAGAAACTGTTGTTTAGATTTTTCTCTTCTCTATAATAATAAAATAGATTAAAATTGTAAGGAAAGAACTCAGATTCGAACCTTACGATTACATTATTGATCGGACTAGTTCGATATTGTATATATATCATACACTTGGCTTTAAATAAGCCCAAATTCCCAAAACTTTACTTTTAGGTGTGGTCTACAATTCATAGCTATATGTCCAAGGAAGGAAGAAGTTAATGCATGAAGATTGTACCCTAATATGAAATAGAATCCCTTTTTCTTCATACTGCTGCCTTGAACAAAATAGGCAAAGTAATCTACTAAACCCACAGGAGATTAGCTCAACAATCACTAGAGGCATTAAACCATCCACTCCTGACATAAATGCTCATTTAATTTGCTTCAAATTAAAGTGAGATACAAAGAGAAAAAAAGGGTTTCGAGTAATTGCTTGCAATATCGTTGTAATGACTGCGATAATAATATTGACGTCTATTTACTTGATTTTTACATATTAATGTTTTAATCATTCTTTTTTAATTGTGAAAATAAAAAAAAATGAAATGCATGCATACCTAATTAGCCTTTTCATCTGAAGTTGACGTACTACGTAAAGCATTATTCTTGGAACGCAAAAAAGATGGCATTTACTGTTTCTTCTTCTTCTTTACGTTCAAATGGTTGCTGGGTATTTAAGTAAGGAACAAGTCTGGATTTTTGACATGGTTTTTGTTAACTTGTTGTCGAGGTGCAAAAATTCTTTGGTTTATAGAATATTTGTACGTTAAAGATATTCGTTAGAATTACTGCAGTGAAAGTTGTTTTATATTGGGAGCTGAAAAGGACAGACTTCAATTTGATTTTTGTTTGGTGATAGAATCAAAAATTTTAATGGAATCTCTGGAATAAATCTATGGCTATCTGTGAATGTCACAGTGCATGTTTCTTTCTAATCGGATTGGTTTTTCCATATATATAATGCCACCATGCATGTTTGATACTTATATATAAACCCTAATTAGGTTCAACATGTTTTAGCAACCAATATATATATATATACATATATTTGCAGAATCACATGTTAAAAGGGGTATATGCTAAAGCATTGGAAGCTTTTCTTTTTCTTTTTTTTTTGGAACTTGAGGCTCTGCCCAATTTTCTCTTCAACTTGTCAACTGAACAACTTGGTAAATATTCTTCTTGTGATATGTAACGTTCAATTAATATTTAAACAATTTACAGATTCTTAAGTGTAAAAAATTTGTTATTTTAGAGAAGTGATTGCAATTTTGCGTCAACACTTCAAAGTCCAAAATTTAAGTCCTGGTATATGTTATATTCTTTGTGAGAATTCCAATATTATTACCGGAAATGACAACGGAGATGAATGAGTGGCACTGGGAGGTTTTTTTTATTTATTAATATGACGTAAGTATAAGACATTATATGTTCAAATATAATTTTTAACCATTTGATATTGAACGCTCACATCCTTAGCATTATTGATGTATAAACTCGAAAACTCAAAGAATAACAACAATTCATTTACCAATAAGGTCGTTCGATTCGTGTGCACCTAGAGTTAAATGATATTAGTCAAATAATGAAAACATAAGTTTTACTATTATTGATTCTTCTCAAATTGGATTGCAACTATTGAAAATTTATAACCCAAATGTATCAGCCCAAAGAAACCAAAACAGACTAATTAACCCAGCTAGCTAATGGTAGGAGGTAACAACCAAGCCCAACGGATAATCTTTTACATTCTTGGATCGAGTCAAATTAAAATATAAAATTTTAACTTAGAAAATCATATCAGATTCCGAATCCAGTCAAAAGCGAAGGATTTAATTTTTAAATCAAATTCGAAGAGATTAAAAACCTAAACTAATCTGATTCGACTTATGTCTGTCTTTAAATGTGATTTATAATGTGGTGGACCGATCATACTGGTGTAGAATATTTATGTGTCTCAGAGGAGGGATGACACCCATTTTTCTAGAAGCGGTTGCCATGCCGTCTTGTCATCGGATGACGTTATTAAACATGTAGGGCTTACACGTTGCCCATCACGTTGCAATTGCACCGACACTTTGTTATGCCCCATTGACCATTGTCAATTGCACCGACACTTTCTTACCCACCATTGTGCCCACCCTAAATAAGCTTACATCCGCACTCACTAACTAGAGAAGTAAAAATTCCTAATCAATACCATTACTAGAGAGGAGGCAACCATGACATTAACTTCAGTCGGTGCCAAAATCAAGCATTTCTTGGATCATGGACAAAATCATTAAGATCAGTCTTCAATTAAAAACAAGCTTATGGACCCACCTTCAATATAAATTGAACTAGTAAAATAGAATAGTGCAATTTTTTTTTAGACAAAATATAATTTTTTGCTTCTTTCCCAAATGACACTGTCCCTATTCTTTGGAGATATTGATGACTATACTTGGCTAACCTCACCATCCTTACATACGCCCACATTCACCACCATGGTTCCTGCTTCCTTTGATTCCATGACCCTGCAACAGTTTCTTCTCGGCGATCTATCCCATAGATGGGGGTCTGCTTTCTTGTTCACAATCACCATTTCAAGCGCACTCGGATCAGCCATCTTCCATCTGCAGGGAGGGTGAGGAACACGGTGCCGCTCGTACTCGCTCACGGTTTGGTTCACTTCCGAATCCATTCTCACCTTCGACATGTAAAACACAAAGGGCTTTTGGCATGGGTTTCGACTAACCGGAGTGTGTTGAATGCGTATGCCGTGTAGTATGCTCTTCGGTACCAATTCAAGAATGTCCTCGATGGTATTTCCATTTCCCGTGGTGAAAAGATTCCTCTAAAGACTTGAACAGCAAAACACAATGAAACAGAAACAGTCCAGCTCTTGCTTTTATTGCAGCAGTTGGACTGCTACATGATTCAGGCCAAGTCCAGCTTTACAGGCAACATAAGCCGCTCAAGGGCTTCAACCCGGGTCACATTGGGGAAAATAGACCACCACATCCAGGTTATGCATTGACACCAATGGTGTTACTGTATGTGCAGCTAGGAGTCCAACCAAGTTCCAATACACGTCATACTGATTCCAGATAATCAACAATGAACACTAAGAATCGAATATTATTTTTAATATGAATTCCTAAATTCGTCCATCTAATATAAAATTCAGTATAAATCTAATGCATTGAGCTAATCACCTACCCAGGTTGAAACACTGCAATTTTTAATTTGATAAGTTGAACATCTTATTCACAAATGTATATGTTTATAAATTTAACATGATGGCTAATGCTTCATAAATTCAGAAATAAAAAGAAACAGAAATAATGCACTTTACCAACTCTCACCCACCTGATGGAAGCCGAGTTCTTTAGTGAGTGGGACACCGAGTTCATCCATACAAACCTGCATCCGGTCGTCTGAACCCGTACAATCCTTGGTACCTCTGAATACAACGGACTTGCATCTTCACCAAAGCTTTAGCCAATGGATAGCTAATGAAAAGCCTCCGCCGCCGTAAGCCATGCTGTTGGAGAAAAATATGTTCTGGAAGTGAGATTCCGACAAGCTGCCAATGTAATAATATTGTGTATGGTCATATTTCCTCAAAATCCTAACCAGATATTCCGTTATAAACACAGTATCGTCGTCACCCATCACGAACCACCTCACGTTATCCATCTTCAACCTCAATGTCTCCGACACGATTCGCGACATACGAATCGCGGATCGGTGACCTTGCCGGTTCGTGTAAGCGAAGTTGGAAGTGTCGCTCGAGACACGAACCGGTGGAAGCGTTCGCTTGTCTTCGGGAGTGTATTTCACCCTATCGTCGAGCCAAACCACTCCCCGCATTTTGTTCGGCTTGAACCAAATCTTGATGTACTCTTTCCTCTGTTGCCATAGCTTGGAAGAAACTGCAATTCCAAAAACAATGTCGTGGATTTCCGTCGGCCTCGGCTGGTTCGGAGCCCCTTGTATTTGTACTGCCGACACCGGTTTTTCTCGAACATTCGGGTGGCGATGAATGGGTGACTTCGAATCAGCCGTTTGGTTGAGAAACGATGGTGTCAACGAACGCCATTGAAGAGATTAAATGAAGGGGAAATCGCCGGAGGCAAGGTGAGCCGGGGCTGTTAAGAGCTTGAGAGTGTAGATAACAAAAGTAATTGAAAAGAAGAGGATTAACCAGACCATGAGCTTTGGAATGGGTCGGGTCGAGTGTCCAAAAACAAGAGGGTTTCCCGATGGGCTTCTCATCTGAATCTGTTTCCATACTATCTGTGAATCTTTCTTGGCGT